AGGATATAAAAAGATGTTTCTACAAATGAAAAATCAAGGTAATCATGCGCATATAAATTTATTTGATTCAGTTATAGCTGTCCAACTCCAATGGAAGTGCAAAGTACTACTTTTCATAATGAGGAACAAAGCTGTTCACAAAAAGATGTTTGTTTTTAAAAATGAATTGTCCTGTAAAACTAATAAGTAACAGAATGAATGCGTGAAAAAGTTACACTGGACAATTTCTAATTTAAATTATCTAGTTTTAGTGACAATTTTGAGAAAGCATAAATGGTAAAAATAAATACATAATTCAGTGTTTGAAGAGTGTCAGGATTCAGATCCTAGTCCTGTGCTGGCGAATCTATGGCATGTGTGCCAGAAGTGGCATGCAGAGCCATTTCCCCTGGCACGCGAGGTTTCCCAGAACAGCCCCACTGCGCAAGCGTGTGCGCTCCGCTGCCTGACAGCTGATTGTCGAGTATCTGGTGCGCATGCACAGGGGGTACGTGGAAGACACATGTGCAGATGCACAGCGCACAGGGGCATATCTCACGTGCATGCACAGACACGCAGCGCACGTAGCGGGATCGTGCGTGTATGCATAGAGGATGTAGGGTGGGCCAGCACGCATTGCCTTCTGGGTGCTGGCATGCAAGCGCGCGCAAGCGAGCAGACGCACAATTATCGGCACAGGAGCCGAAAAAGGTTAGCCACTACTGTCCTAGATCTAGAGTAAATTATAATTCATTTTGAATAGCACAAATTATCAGTTACTAGGATGTGCAAACTGTTAGCATGGCTTCCTCCTGAAAATATAGAAATGTTGTGGAATGAATATGCTTCATATTTTATACTTCAGAATATTTATATATATCCAAAAAATAAAATTTGGCTTGAGTATAAAATTTAATCAATGTTCAGTACACTATGTATTTTTCCTAATCTTTTTTAAGTTATTTTAAAACTGTATTTTTTTAAAAAAAAACACTATTGACCAAAACCCATAACTACATATATACAAATGCTAAGCCATAGTTTTAAACTTGAATAAACCACAGTCAGCTTCGCAGATGAGTAGCTCTTAACTTCCATTTCTTTGAACTAGATAAAAAGCTTAGACAAAATCAAGCCAAAGTAAATAATTCAATCATAATCAACCCTCTATTCTCTATTTACGTGTCATAACATACCAACAAACTACTATTTCAAATTCAGATTTGCTTTTTCATAGCAAATAACATTCTATCTTAGCATAAATATGTGTATCCACCCCAAAATAGTTTGTTCTCATTTCCCCCCATGTTGTAATTACTGCAATTTCTTTGATTGTTTTGAGCTATCTGAAATCACTGCGAATCAAACAGCATACAAGTTTAATAAATTGATGTTATTATTATAGTTCTATGCTTATAATTACTAGACTCCTACCATAATATAACCCAAATATTGACAACTTTCATCTAAGGCTGAATATCATCCACTACAACACAAAGCAGGTATGTTACAAAATAAATATGGAATGAAAATACCTCAAAATTTTTGTAGGCCGCTCAGTCACTTTCATGAGATGAGCGGTTACATAAATATAATTTTAAAAATATTTTTCTTAATATAGTTAAGATTTTATTCCCCAAGTTGTCATTAATATTCATATCAAACTTTAATTCATGACAATATTTTATATTCGGTAATTAGCTGTTACATATTTCTGTTCAATAGCTTTTTGTTATCAGTACAGCATATAAAGTGAATACTATATGCCATTTTTTATTTTTTAAATAAAGCTAAAGACACATTTGTATGATAGTAAACTAACCCAACTCCTGTCTAGGAGTGACAAACTGATCACATTATATCCATACAAAGTAGCTCCCTAAATCATAGCTCTTCTTGATGCGCAAATTAGAGTAGATAGTATTTTTTTTTAATTAAATAGAATTGGAAAAGAAATTAATACGATTTCAATAAAATATAATTTCAAATTCTGGTTAATATTAATCAGAAATAACAGCCACTTTGTATGACACATCTCACTAATATACAGAAGACTTATCAGCTGTGATTAAGAAGCCACTTCAGACCAGGACAAATTCCAAGCAAAGCAATGTTAAGCTTCCAGGCAAAATTCCAGGCAAAGTAACTGCCAAATGTTGAATGAATATACAATATGAAATTACATCATCTAAGACTAACCAAATGCTAATAGAAGGTGTGGTAAAGAAGTTCTTCTTGGCAGACGAGGAAGCAAATTTCAGACTGATCCTTAAATCTAAACAAAACATAGTTGATATCCTAAGTGGAAAAAAAAGTCTTGCAATAATATAAAACTCATATCTTGCTAGATATAAAAGCATGCTTCTTGATCAGATAGTTGAAGTTTGTGAAGGAGCTGCAAAATAATCTAAATCAAACAACTAAAAATGGCTGAAGAAGTTGGAAAATACATGAATGATGACTGACTGTCAAGGGGAGAATTTCATATAGTCGAAGCAAAACTCTATCAAGTGTCATATCTTTTCTTCTGTTTAGATTTTAAATGACAGAAAAATAAAATGTTAAAATAATATTGGATTTTAAATGACAGAATAAAATAATCAGTACAGCACATACTATGATGATAGGGCTATATATTAGAAATATATACATACTTGATTATTTATATTTTATATAAATAAAATTGTTAAATGGTAAGTGCTGTAACAATACATTATGCTTTCTTTTTTCTGTTGTATTTTTTTCTTTTCAGGACTTGTTTTTATTTTGTTTTTTTTTGAAAATGTATTTCATGATAATTATCATCCTTTTATTTTTCTTGTTTTATGATTATTTATATAAAAAATAAAAGTATAGCATATATACCTAAATTTACCAAAAGATGCTATTATTAAGATATTAATATTGAGACAGTAATTAGAATATAAAGTATTTCATTAAACACTTGAGTGTATAAATACTGTAGATAAAGTAGAATTTAACATTCATCCAGTTACCACAATCAATATTATATCGTAAGATGAGAGTGATTAGACTTATTAATTTGGAAATACCAAGATTTCTAAAAGAAGTTAGTTTTTGCACTCTATTTTAAAGATCCCTAAGGTATTTTTAATGTGTTTTACTGTAGTAGAAGGAAACAGCCAAATTTCTCTAGAACATACTGTATCTTCAATAGTTTAAAATGGTAATTATTACAAATTGTGGCCAAGATTTTAACATTGATTAAACAGGCCATAATGGCTTATTCATAAATAAGCTACAATGAATTAATCCTCAAAATGTGATGGCAAAAAAGCAAGAAGCCACAATGTATCTTAGTGCAATGTCTCAATTAAGTGACATGACCCAATGCACATTGGATCCATGGCTTATGAGATAAACCCTTATGCAAATTTAATATAGACATTCAATATCCATCTGAAAAGGAAGATTTGAAGTAGTAACAATATAGTTGTGTGTAAGAATTTAGCAGTGGGAAACAATGATCATGATACAAGAAAAATGCACCATGGCTAATCAGATGGCCTATGTAAACCACATGATGCACACCATACTTTGACCATAAATCACAAAATATTTATTGGTCATGAGTAAAAAAGCTTATCCATCTTCACACGGGTTTCTAATAACATAAATTCTGGGAGCTCTAATTCCATATTCAAGAGATACTTTTGGAAAGCCTGGGGAGTTACCAAATTTTCCCCCTAAGGCTTCTTTTAAGTGGTGGACACACAATTATTTGCAGAGGAACAGGTTTATAATCTAAAAGTTTTGTATCTATTAGATGTTTAGTCTGACATATTAAACACAATGCAAGCTCATATTTGTCAATCAGTAGAGTAACAGATATCTTTTAACCAGATTTCTGTTTCCAAGTCTTTAAAGAGTGCATCCTGTGAATACAATATTGTCCTATTGGTAAATAGATTTACTGCCTCATAAATGCTTTAGGATTACAAAGTAGGATTTAGCCTACTCAGTATCTTCATCACTGCATTTCTCCAGAAACATACTTTCTTTCAAAGATCATGTATCCAGTTCTATCACATTATCTATCCTTGTTATAGTTAGCCCCAAATACTCAGTTTATTGCAGCAGGAAAGAACTAAGCTATTGTTTAAAAGGGAAACCATTAGCATGGTATCTTTCCACTATCCATGCTCTTGTAGAAAAGTATGTCTAATAAACTACCAATTTCGCTACAGGGCCTATCATTTTCTGGACTTCATTCACTCTGACAGACTTTTGATATGTAACACGTTTACACCTGTCATAATCAAAAAAAAGAGGAGGAAGAAGAAAACAGCTGCATCACTTCTGGCTGAAGGCTAAACTCCACTCTTGCCAATCAGCCTTTCAATTCTTTCACAGCCTGAATTTTAGGTAACTCTGAAAGCTTCAGAAGTAAAGCATGGGCAGTTTTCGTCTTCCCCCTAAAACTGATAAAATAGTGTACCAATACCACACTAAGAGTTTAGCCATTAACAAAATCTCCGAACGAGCACATCCATCCCTTCCCACAAGCCACAGCTATTCCTTCCCATTAGCTTTTATTTCTCTTTTTTTTTTTTTACTCCGCAACTCACACCGACTAAGGCATCCAGCCCCTGGATCCCCAACGCAATTTGCCAGCCAGGCCTCATTTGAGTCTTCCCTTGTTACCTCCACCTCCCAAATCATCGCTTCTCCCGTTTCGGTTAACCGAGTTCCTGCAACCTCCCGTCCGGCCCAACCAGCGCTAAGCAGGGAAGTTGGCAATTCCGTATCCCAGAATCGGCGGGGATTCGTAAAATCCGTCACCGCGGGCCGAGCTCCATCCCCCAATGCATCCTACACCGCGCCCCCCGATCTTGGCCTCAGGGCCCACTTAGGCCGCCAGAGTCCCAACCGGCAGGCCCTCCCCATCCTCCCCACTCAGGCATTCACCAGTCGGTAAACCCCCACACACCCCCGCCCCCAGGACAGCCCCGGTCACCCCCATCCCTCAGCACCACGAGTCCCCAACAGCAGCCACTCACCTTCGCGCCCTCTGACCCTCGAACTCAATATAAAAGACAGCAGTAGCGACCAACCCCGACTGAGGTTCCCGCCCTAGGGGGCGGACTTCTTGGTTGTGAGCATGCGCATAAAATGTTGCCGCGCGCTTCTTGCTTCTTTGGCATTGTGGGATACGTAGTTTTGAATCCTGTCGGAGGGAGGCGGGAGGGATTCCGCAGGTAGCATCTTGGAATCTTCTGTTCTATGAAGAGTTGGTTCAGGAGGGAAGCAATTTGGATTGGCGTTAATCACACAAATACTGCCTTAACGTCACGAATTGTCAGATTTAGTCTTGGCAATATTTTGCTTTTAATTCTGAGTATTTTAACCAATAAAGTTGCTGGTTGTGTGAAATACACACACACACACACACACACACACACACACACACACACACTTTTTCACAAATAATTTTTCATAGTAAAATGCCTCACTTAATTCATTTGAAGACGTTAGATTATACAGAAGACCTTTTTGCATTCCATTTTTCTCTTTCACTATCCTGTTCCTGTGCACCTTCCAACCTGCTTTAGAAGTTTAGGAGATCTTCACAATTAAATTTGGATCACATAGGAAGGAAGCAGCAGGAGACAAAAAAAGTCCTGTTCATGCACTGAATACAGGATGTGACATTCTATATCTTTCCTTTTTCATATATATATTTCAAGATAGTGAACTTATCTAAAACTGCTGTGTTCTATTTTCCCTCAGATGGGGTGCTGAGAGAGAATGACTGACACAAAGTCTCTCAAGATGATTTTCATGCCAATATAGTTCTAGAATTCACAGCCTCTTATGGTAGTTTCTAGGCCGGATATTTAACCATTACACCAAACTGGATGTCACATATCAGTGAATGTACCATATAGTATTAACATGTCATTATTTTAATATAAAATATTTGTAATTAACCTTTACAATAAGCAGCAGTCAAAGATGAGGTAGAGGACAGTTAAAGTACTAGATTTAAACTGCAGCAAATTCTATTTTCCACTTTAGCTGCATGGTGTCTAAGCTAAAGTTAAATCTAGTCTTATTTGCTCTCAAAAGATTAATATTCTGTTCCGTGTATTACAAGTGTTCCCTCTGAAGTCCAAGTTTACGCAACTTGATGTGATTTTATTGACTGAAAGATTAATATTCTATTCCGTGTATTACAAGTGTTCCCTCTGAAGTCCAAGTTTACGCAACTTGATGTGTTTTATTGACTGAATTATAAAGCCACCCATCTCAATATATGACTCTGAATGGCTCACAAACAGGCAATGTGAAAACCAAGCAAAATTTATAATTATGGAAGAAAACTGTTCACTATTGTTTTATCAGGTTGAAGTTCAGGTATGAAAAAAGAACAAAAGCAGGGAACAACCGCTGGTGTCTTCAGTATGGAAGATACTCCTATATAGAATATCTCTAGAAGAAATGAAGCTCTGAAGTTTATTATAGGGTTTATTTTGACACATAATAGTGGTCTTCTTTAGATGGAGTTAGGGACGGGGTGGCTTAATGGCTTAAACGCTGAGCTTGTTGATCAGAAATCAACAAGCTCAGTGTATGTATTTCAAGGGGAACCTTTACCTTTACACGGAGTTAAATGGTAATAATTACTTACAACATTATAAAACATTATAAAACACTTTTGTTTATATTACAATGGATATTTTATTTGCTTTGAAATGGAGTAAGATACCTGGTATCTTTGGCTATATTATTGTATCTGAGTGATACCTATTAAGGCTCTGTCTTTTTCCCCTTTTGTTTGCTCCCCAAAACAGAAAACAACATTTGGTAATAACAATGTTATTCTAATGTAGGGTTAGGATTAGGGTTATATAGAGATATACATTCATAAGAATAATTAAGATGTCACAGGTTGTAAAGCATGCCTCCTTGTTTATTAAATTTTCATTCCATCTTTGTTTTGAGATCAATTTAAGGCAACATACTTATCTAATGTTCCTGACTTTATTTTTCTTAGAACAAGAGCCCTATGAGGTATATTTGTCTAAGAAAATGTGACTAACCCAAAATCATGCAGCTTGTTTTTATATATAAGGATAGGTTAGAATTAATATTTTTCTGGTTTTTAGCCTAGCATCTTAACCACTATCCTAAACTAGTTCTCAAAACCACTGTCATAGCAGCTACCTAATATTAAGGTCCAAGAGTCTGAGATGGCTCCTATAGCAGAAGTTAACACACCTTAACATTTATTTAGGATGGAATTTCTATGTGATTCTTCCAGTTTCCTCTTTCTTGGCAGTGCAGCAAGCTTTAAGTTAATATTATGCTCCCTGTGAAATTTCTTTCATAACTAGTTCATTTTTCTGTTCTTTTAATGTTTAGACTACATATATTGCCACAGATTTTGAAATCTGTTAGGCAATTACATTATTAACATCATTTTAATATATATAATATCACGACCAAGTTTTAGTGATCTTCTGGTCTTTTTATTAGACAAAATGATACATCAAGCAAGAAAGAAGAGGAAGAAAAAATGCTGGTATATTGAAGCTATAAGGCATTGTGGTCAGAATTTAAGGCAAAATTAAAAAGGAGTTACAGATTTAAATGTATGAGAGCACACCAGGGGCATTTCCGGACAAAGGTTTACTATGCAATCACTCAGTCCCATTCATAAAATCTTATCATGAGTTCACTTACAATTTATCACACATACACGAACATACTTTCTATAATTGCCCTTACCTCTGTCTTCCATCTTTCCACAGAAAATCTGCTAAGGAGAGAACACTGAAGTGGCTTAACAATGCCTTTATTCCATAATAATAGTAACTGTCCATCAAAAATATCCTATTTGTCATACATTTTTCAGCTTGTACCATGAAACAGAAACTCTAACAGCAAATTCTTCCATTTTAAAAATACTTTAAAGTAACAGTATACATTGATGGAACTGATGTTATTAAATTAAAATAAGCAGAGATGATAAAATTGTGCATATATAATACTAATCGGGGCAAAATCGATGCTTCTTCTGTGGTTAGGAAACATGGAGGTCACAATCTATGTAACCAGTCTCATTGAACAGTTCAGTCTAAAACAGTCTGCACAAGTTGTTTCCAAACATTTTAAAAGTGATTCTGTATAAGATAAGTTATGGTAGTCTAGATTGGAAATAACTAAAACACTGTATGGCATCATCTTCACAAAAATTATATAATTTGCATTAATATGTGTGACATTTATGTGTTTGAAGATACACATAATCAGTTCTGACAGCTTCACAAACAATTGGATTTGGCATGATAACTTTGCAACATACATTGCATTATTCCTAATGCTAAATAGTCTAACTTCACTCAACATAGTTTATATCTCATTTCCTGATCTGCTATTTAACTGAACAGAAGCACCTCTGCCATACAGATTAAGATTTGCCTTAACAAACAGAATCTGATTTAGAACTTGAGCTGTTTCTTGATTTTAGAAAAAAAAACTTGGCTGATGTTAATGAACCCCTGAATTCAGGACATTCAGTATCATGATATACATAGGCATCACGAGTAGCCTCCAAACTATCCTTAAATCTTAAATTATTAAACTCATTGTACACTATCTTAAAGAACTAAAGAGACTTGTTAAACAGCTTACTGTAATTTATATTTTAGGTTCCATCACTATTTACTAAACTCTTCTTAGCAACTTTATCTCTATGCCAGGTTTTCTCAGCACCAGCAACTTTAAGATGTATGGAATTCAACTCCCAGAATTCCCCAACGAACATATTTCAGCCTGAGAATCTGAGAAAGAATTACAACAGAAAAAAAGTCAGTGGCTCATTATGGTCTTTTATATGTCTCCCATCCAAATGAAAAGCTATCCCATGTGCAGTTAAACAGAGAGCTGTAAAACAGCATTAAGCAGAAGTGTTATATAACCATATTGAAAACAGTCTCCATGCCAGCACTGTAATTACTGCTAAGTACAAATATTGTGACAATGTCTCTTAATACCCATACGGAATAATCTTGTATTATACTATGTTTTATTTAACAAGTTAATAATGTGCCAGCCCAAATCCTTCAGTTCCTAACATTGCCAGTGGGACTAATTAACCAACCTGGATATATATTTAGGGAAATATTAATATTCACAGTGAACATGTTATATTTATATTGCCTCTTATAATCAAGGCTCTGTTATGTTTGGTTTAAACATTACAGACATTCTTGACTGTATTTCACAACTCACTTTTCCTGTTACTGTATACTAATTACTTCTCAATTTATTCTGTCAAATGATATTGGGAATAATATAATTATTTCTATGGTAGCAGAAAAAATTTGTAACCCCTTAATAACCAAAAGTAAAAAACAGAGAGCTGTCAGAGAGTTTTTTTTTCCTCGGTGAACTCAGGTTATACCATACAAGATTTTCACATAAGTATGAAGAGCAAAGGTTTTTTTTCCTCCCCTTCTCTTCCCACCATCACCTTCTTTTTTTCTTAAAATAGTCAGACTAGGAAAGTCTTGTTTTCTTTGTATTTTTATTTTTTTCCCTTGGTCAGTTGTTCTATTGAAAATAGTCTGACCCGATTTTCGTGCGATAGCATTTTCTGGATAATTTCTTTTACACTACATCTTCCCTAACTATAAAATCTTGATTGCACTGCTAGCTTTATAGCAGAGCTGTACCATTCTAGAGAAAAATCAGGTTGTATATCAAAATAAAGATCCAATCTCTAATATACTAACTGGAAAACTGATTCTCACAATGTTAGGATGGCCATCCCGATAGAGCAGAGGTTCCCAACCTGGGGTGCTCACACCCCCTGGGGGTCCGAGACGATATTCCAGGGGGTGCGAGAAAAGTCCAGGTAAATAATAGGATATTGGCTATATGTTGGCATTTTTATGTATTATTTATTTCAGGGGGTGCGAGGTTCGAGTGAAATTTCTTTAGGGGTGCGGGGCGAAAAAAAGGTTGGGAACCACTGCGATAGAGAATGAGAGCAAGAGCTGTGGTGGGGCAATGGTTAGAATGCAGTATTGTCAGCCAATTCTACCAACTGCCATCAGTTCAATCCTGAGCTGC